CAAAATCATCAGCTGAGTTTGGCCTTACAATCAATGCCCAAAAGACTAAGATACTTTACCAACCACCACCTGGCCAGCCTCATGTTCCCACAAATGTGCTGTTGAACAGGACCCCACTCAATGACGTGACTATGTTTCGTTATCTAGGTTCAATGATGACAGTGGTAACCACCTAGATGCAGAGCTGACTGTCTCCGTCAGCCACTTTCGCGAGACTAAAGGATCGAGTGTAGAGTCAGAAAGATCTGAAAAGAAGCACAAAGATGAGGGTATATCGGGCTGTGGTCATGCCAACCCTATTGTACTCTGCTGAGACTTACACACTTTATCGGAGATATATCCATCGGCTAGAAGTGTTTCACCAGTGTCACCTGCGGACTATCTTGGGTGTTTCCTGGAAGGACCGCGTGACGAATGTTGAAGTGTTGCAGAGGGCCGGAATGCCATCAATCGAATCCTTGCTGGTTCACACACAGCTTCGCTAGGTGGGCCACGTACAGCGGATGCCCGATTCACGTATCCCCAAGTTCCTGCTCTATGGAGAGCTGGGCAATGGTGTGCGGAGTCGTGGAAGGCCTTTGCTTCGCTACAAGGAAGTTGTGAAACGCAACGTGGTCAGCGCAGGTATTAGTAACTGAGAGGAGCTAGCAGAAGACCGACAGAAATGGCGAGCCGAGATCCGAGCAGGCGCCGGGCGTGTGTATGAAACTTGGAAAACGTTGGAGGCCGCTCGCGCCACGCTGCTACCCAGGCTCGCGAAGCGAATGCTACAGGGGCATCGTCGGACTAACGACGGCCGGACACGACGACGATATATACATATATACATGTTTACATACATATATAGATATGTGTGTGTGTGTGTTGTGTGTGTGTGTATATATATATATATATATATATATATATATATATATATATATATATATATATATATATATATATATATATATATATATATATACATTTGTGTGTGTGGTGTGTGTGTGTATATGTATATATATATATATATATATATATATATATATATATATATATATATATATATATAATATATATATGTGTGTGTGTATGCGTGTGTGCGTGTGTGTGTGTATGTGTGTATTGTGTGTGTTTGTTTGTGTGTGTGTTGTGTGTTTGTGTGTATGTGTGTGTGTGTGTTTGTTTGTGCGTGTGTGTGTGGGTATGAGAGTTGAGTACGTATGTGAAAGGATACATCCTCTCTATCTATATAAACCCATAATCACGAAGAAAAATTCTCCGTCACTTCTACACGCAGGACTGATGAAGCAGCCAGATGCAAGGTCAAAGTGTGTGACTGTAAACATCGTGTCGGATTTCTGTCTCACTTTTGATACCTGAGGAGAGATTAAAAATTAGTTTATTTGAGCTCACTTTTAAAAGATACCTGAGGAGAGATGTAGTACATTGTTTTTTGAGATCAAAGTATATGGATTTTTGTAACTGATCCACAAGAATATCGCGCCAGTAATATTAACGGAAAGAATTTAGATCACCGTCGGAAAAGGGAGGATCATAAAAAAGAAGGGGGGAGCATAGTCACGTGTTATTTAATGATGATAAAAAAGTAACATGTCAATCACATATGCGGTTCAAGTAACACAGAATGCATGACAACTAAGTACAATTATATTCATGCTTATAATTCCACATGACCTGTGTATTAGATGGATAGCATTGAATGGCTGTGCTGTACGTATATAGGTATAAACTTGTTTAGAGTGAAATTAAGAAATGGTTGGTGATACTGACAGACTTTACATAATGATAGGCAGTCTTGTGCGCCTGCCTATCATTATGTAGGTAAGGGGTAAATATACAAAATCAAATTAAGATTAAACTGACATACATGGTTGCAAATATTCCAGAAGATTTTAAAAATAATTAAAAATGTCTAACCATTTGGTGCCAACATTGTGTTATTACAATATAACAGAACTGAAATTAATTAAATTCCAAAACAAGTAGAAGCCAGATGTGGCCTGCAATAAAGCAGATGTACTTGCTGTGTGATGAACAATAGACACAAGATTTGTATACTGAAATAATACGTAAAACAACAAAGCGTACGACCTGTTTTATCTCCAAGCCCCTACCCTTCTTATAAAACACAGTGCCTACACAATATGGCTATTTTAAATTCTTTGGAACTGCGCAGACAGGCAAGATTCTCTGAAATAACGAATATCAAAAGTTGCCTTAGGAAAGGACAACATAGGCAATAAATATAGCACTTTTGAATATAAAGTGAATATAAAGGCTGTTGCAATCAGTTCACCGTATGTCACTGACAAAAAAGACGCATTCACAAATGAAATGTTTTATATATCACTTGTGTAGTAGAACCAAAGACACTTTGTTACCTGTGTTCTTCATGGCTGCTGACTTCTAAATGGAAACACGTCCTTGTATGCCGAACATGTCTCTCCATTAATGGATCACACTACACTTTAGCTCTCCAACGTTGCCTTATCTTATCTCATTAAAAGTGTCCCTGAAATTGCATTTGTTTTTGGTGGTAATTAAAATTGCCAGTAATTGAAGCACCTAATATCCATATAAAATGTAATATTGAGTTCAACGTTATCATTACACTGCACTAAGGTCATTATTGTTTTGGCAGTCGGTAACTGATGAAATATTAGTGTTCGTATATGTGTGTGTGTGTTTATATGTTTATATATATGCATATATACATATATATATATATATATATATATATATATATATATATATATATATATATATATATATATATATATGTGTGTGTGTGTGTGTGTGTGTGTGTGTGTGTGTGTCTGTGTGTGTGTGTGTGTGTGTGTGTGTGTGTGTGTGTGTGTGTGTGTGTGTGTGTGTGTGTGTGTGTGTGTGTGTGTGTGTGTGTGTGTGTGTGTGTGTGTGTATGTATGTATGTTTTGTATGTATATATATTATTGCAAAACCACAAAACCACGATGAACAACTGCAATAGCTGAATTAAAGATAATGAAAATTATAATTGCATCATGTATTCTCCAGAAGCAATCTCCAGAATCTTTCTTATCTTGCACCTGACTCGTTCATATCTTGAGAACCACGGTAGGAAAATACGTTTGTTGTTTTACATGCATAGAGAGTAAAAAGAACACGTGGTGAAACACCCCGCAACACACACACACACACACACACCACACACACACACACACACACACACACACACACACACACACACACACACACACACACACACACACCACCACACACACACATATATTTACAGATATTTTCTGTCTGAACAAAGAATTGCAGATTTGCTTTAACATGGAATAATTACTAAACAAAACTATGAATATGAACGTAAGTAAATGTACGGGCGAAAAAAAAAATCGTATCTTCCTACTCCATAGATAATGATACCTTTTACCAGTTACTTGAGATGTTGAACACGACGCCCAACAGTTGGTATCATTGATAATTCGTGATATTAAACTCATGATATCACTGCAGCCATAGTATGCATAAACATAAAGCGTAAACTGCGTAAGTATAATTTGGTAACCGAAATGATAACGTAGTTCCCGTCAATATAATGGTATCATTTTCTTTGGATCTCAAAGAAAATGGCTTTAAAGACTAACTCAATTGTATCTATAGGTTTAGACCATGTATTCGAATACTGCATAATTTTGAATATAAAATGTATGTATACATATTCATATACAATTTACCCCATTAACCGTTGTACCGGATGACATAAAATGCACCCCACATGCACACACACATGCACACACGCATAAGGAAGTGGTTAAAAAATGTCGTCAATCTTCTGCCAAATTAGCGATATTTTTGGTTATGTGATATTAGTAACATATTCTTGATTGCAAATTCTTGATAGTAAGTTCGAGTAACATAGAGTTTATATCAACATAAAAGGTTAAAGGAAAAAATGAGCGTTTCCTATTTGGAAAACCTTTCCTCCGTTTTTCTCCACCTAAAGAAGATATTAATATATATAATATAGTATTACTTCTATTCTCATATACTCTATATTCATATAATTATCTCTCTCTTAATATATATCTATATATATACCATATTACCATATCATATGCCATAATTCATTCTCTACTATTTATACTCTCCGTCTATCTATATCTCAATATATTTATATACTTATCTATATTTTAATCATCCATATATGTATCATATACTATATATATATATATACTTCTCATAATTGCCTTACTATATATTTACTATAGTATAACTATATATATTCTATCTGATATCTATTATATAGTATACCTATATTTCTATATATACTACATACCTACAACATTCCCTCCTTCTCCACCTATCACATCACAACTGTATTCCTCTTATTTACCTTGTCATTAAAATGACCTTATATACGGCTCATACAGAAATTTAATAACGTCGAGCATTTTTACTTGTTATTATCAGCATCATCTTTATATTTACTCACTCCATCTGATACTAGCCGTCTGAGGAAGATGACTCACTCTCACTCATTTCACTATCTTCAATCTATATATATCTATATTATATCCTCTCATTTACTTGCTCATCTACACTATTTATAATATCACTTACCATTATTTATTATATTCACTCATTCACTCATCTTCCTATTATCTTCTATTATCTTACTATCTTACTATTACGTATTTATTATACTTCTCTGTACTATTCTCATCTTACTTCATCTTGCTTATCTATCTATTACTTCATCTCTTTACACTGAAATTTAAAATAGGTTTTAAACATCCTCTTCTTTGCCTTTAATTTTTATATTAGTAATAACAAAGATTATAAAAAAAAAAAAAGAGACGTCGTTGAAATAACGTCAGTATATTTCCTAATTCATGGGTTAACCTTATTAGAATGGCTCTCTTATTACGCTAAAAAGGTATTTTTGGCGAGACAGTATATTTGTATACCCGTCGTTTATAATGTATAGACATCGTGATATTTTTAGGGGCGTATAAGAGTAATTACGAAATATTAGAATAATCTATAGACTATATTCATATATTGTTTCGACTTATCATATATTATCCATATGAAATTAAATCATATTATAATATTAATATATTATATATATATAGTATATATATTATATCTATTTATATATATATTATATAATGCTAATTCACATATTCTATATTTATCTATTTATTCTATATATATCATCTATATATATATCTTTGTTATCTCTGCATCCTCATTTCCACTTACACCTACACCACACACTTACACTCCACACTAACACACACCTACATTACATATATAATATTTTCCTTACTATATATTATATAATCTATTTCCTTAATATAATATACTCATATTAAGTACATATATACTTAGCATAGATAAGATAGATCGATTAGATAGACTAGATAGATAGATAGATCAGTATATCCTCACAGTCCTCCACAATCTCTCCCACCACATTCCCCTTCTACACACACCCACTACACACACATTTACACAACACAATCTCATCACACACACCAACCACCACTCACACAATCACTCCGACCCATCTTCACATATACATATACTTTCTATATACCTAATATATTATAGTACCCAACACACACAACACACACACACAACACACACACACACACAGCATCCTTCCCCTACACCACACACACACAACAACACACACACACACACACACCACCACACGATATCACACACACACACTCACTCCCACACCCAACCAAATATAATATATATACCTACTATGTCATATCTCCTATATATATATTCATTATATACTATATGATAATATATATATATACTCTACTACAGTATATTCTACTAATACTATTATATCGTTATATATAAATATATATATTACACTATACATACACACACCCATGCCCTTCATCACTAACACACCACCACACACATTCACGAACACACACACACAACACACACAACACCCACACATACCACACACAACACCACACGACATATACCATCAACACACACAACACACACACCACACATCACACCTACCACACAGACACACACTCAAATCACTCACACATTCTATTCATCATCCTCCCGTCACACCACATCACTCACACCACTCCACAACACACACACAACACATCACACATACACTCTCGCACATCCTCTTTTCTCTTTCCTCTTTCCTATCCATCACACCATCACCGATATACATAATATTTTTATAACCAAGACAAAATAAAATCTTAGAGTTATGCCTAACATGATAGGCATTTTCCTTTCCAATATACCAATTGAGCTTATAGATAAACTATATCTCGCTGACAAGGATAGAATAGTGCTTCTCAAACACTTTATCCCATATAATCACACACACACCGACACACACACACATCAACATCTCCACACACACACACACACACACACACAAAAAAATACTCACAGCGACACACACAACATATTCAACACCACATATATATATATACTATATAATGCATATAAATAATATCGTATATACTAACACTATATATAATATCATATACTGTTACTTATAACTACTAATACTATATATCATATTAATCATATATATGTATGGGTGTGTGTGTGTAGATAGATAGATAGATGCTGTGTGTGTGTGTGTGTGTGTGTGTATGTGTGTGTTGTGTGTGTGCTGGATGTGTAGATGATAGAATAGATAGAGATAGATAGATATAGATAGATAGAGATGTGTGTGTGTGCTGTGTGTGTGTTGGTGTGTGTGTGTGTTATATATATATTTATAATATACTTATATATATTTATATATTACTATCCCCTACATATATATACTATACCTCTATTACTATCTATATTTATATCTATATATAATATATATATACATATGTCATATATATTTTCATATATATATATATATATATATATATGTATATATATATATTATATATAATATCTGTATAATATAAAAATATAAATATATAATAAATAAATATATATATATATATATATATATATATATATTATTTTATATATATATATATATACTATCTATATATTATATTTGCACAACACCCCACACACGCATACATATGTACAGGGTCTTGGGGCAAAGAACATGGCTGGGCCTTCAGGGTCAAATCTTTTTTTAGGGCGGAAAAACCTTTACCGAATAGGAAACGCTCATTTTTCCTTTAAACTTTGATGTTGATATAAACTGTATGTTACTCGAACTTACTATCAAGAATTTGCAATCAAGAATATGTTACTAATATCACATATCTTAAAAAATATCGCTAATGTCATCTCTTTCCAACCATAATATCCTTTTTCAATTGCAAAGGTTTCCAAGATAATAAGGCACTAATTTCTGAGTCAATTCAAAGATCCAAACAGAACCGCTATAACAAAAAATGTTATGTTAAGGACTGAAAATCAACACATAACCTGTAAAGATGTGGATCTTTATGCATGTGTGCGTGTGCGTTTGCATATGTGTGTGGG